AGTCATCAACTCTATTCCTTCATACGACATGGTAGGCCACAAAGCCTTACCATCTTCCCTGCCTCTATGCCTTGAAATCCCCAAGCATAGTCATCTAACCTATTTTCATGACCTGAGGACCCTTGGGTCTTGCCATCTGTCCCACCACCAAATCCTTCAGATTTCTGAGCCTTTCCATCTGCCCTGCAGCTGAATGTACTTTTATGTGCTGTCTCCTCTAATTAGCGTGTGAACTCCGTAAGAGCACGGACTGTTTCATTTTTGTCTTTGAATCTACATTACCTGGGACATATTCTGACATGTGATTTCATCTGTTTTTAGACTTCCTAATGTGGAAACTCCCTTTAGCAATGCAGATAAGCAACTTATCTATGACTTAAAGTCTAAGAGTTGCCCAGATTACTGAGAGGTGAGTAGCTTACCCATGATCACACAGTCAGTATGTATCAGAGACAAAATTTAAACCCAGGTCCTCCTAACTAATGTTATTTCTCCATCCATGATGCCTAGCTGCCCTAACACCTGGCACAGAATATGTGCTTAATAAATTCTTGTTGTATTCAATTCTGCTTTTTTTAAGTTCCATCTCCTAGGGCTAGGTGAATAAGATAACTGGTATGCATAAGGCAAACAATGTAGGTACTCCTGAGTCATAGACACCTAAGATATTAATTTCAGGTGTATTTCACTGGCCCACCCCTACCTACTCAGAAGCCATGATGAAGAGCAACAAAGTTGTCTTTAGTCAACAGTACCCCCTGGTGGCATATGTAAGGAATTTTCTCTTCCCCACCACTTCCTTTCTTCTCCTGGGGAGGTAGTGAAGGGTGGTGGTAACATTTTCCCTTCTACCTCTATTTTCCATGGATTTTTTTTTCTTTTATACTCTGAAGGATTAAACTAGGTGATTATAAATTCCCATCCAGATCTCATATTCTATGAAATCTATGAAGATGTAACCTAGGAAATTTTTTATACCTACTTTCCCCTCCTCAATTCCTACCTTTGTCCTTATGAAATTGACTCTTTTCTTTTTATTTCTTGCTCTCTTTATTTCCCCATCTTCATTCCACTTGTGAACTCAAAACTGAATGTGATCATGAATGACAGGCATAAGAATAGAGTACAGTACTAGAGTTCAAGTGTGAGTTGGTGGCTTCCAGTCCTACATCCACCATTGGCTGCATTTGGGAATGTTGAAAATCTCTTGACTTCTCTAGGCCTCAGTTTCCTCATATATCTAAAATGAGAGGTCTGACTTACATGAGCCCCAAAGTCCCATCCAGTTCTAAATCCTACAACTCTATGAAATCTATCAAGAAAAAAAGAAAGTCACAATTTTGAAATTAAATTATCCATAGTTAAGAGCCAATACAATAACTCTTATTAATACAAATTTTGTATTAATACAAAAGCCCTTGAAAGTGCACAAAATTCTTCTTTAAATCTTCATAGAAGTCTCTGTCCCTTTCTCATCCTTCTCTAATTAAAACTGTATTTTCCTCAAGAACTAGTGGTCAAGAAACCTCATTTATTTGTATTGTTTCTTTGTCAAATAACTAGTCTTGAGACAATATTGTTTTCTACCAATTTTTTTATTGTAAATGTGCCATATTTCAGCTATATATTATGACCTGATTAGGCTTTTGTGGTAGAGGCTGAGACCCTAACTATAACTGATGACAATCTATCTATGGGAAAAATGAGTTTCTAGTTCCAAACAGCCAATCCACAAATGAACTTTGGGAATAGAACCCTTTTGTAAGTTAAGGAGTACTAGTAATTATACACATTTCTCATTCTCAGTCTGTACTCTGTTCACATTTTGAAGCAAGATTGTTATTATAATGATTAATGAGAAATGGATTCAATTATAACTTCTTCATGTGACAGATATTTATTGTCTCTGTAGCTAAAGAAGTTCATGCTAGAGGCAGATGTATGACTTGGGATATGAAAGTAACTCTCCCTTTTAATTCTCATTTTATGCTGACAATTGGATTCAATATTTTCTGTGATGTATGTTATTTCTTAGTTAAACTTAATACATTCCTCAACTTATATATGATTATTTTCCTTTGACTAAAGTTTTGATGGTACTGATTGTTGCATCTTCACTATTACAAGATCCTAGTCTAAAGTGCTTTAATTAAAATATGAATTTTGTTACATTGCTCTTCAGATGAGACCTTCAACTTTGTTTGGTTTAAATGTTTCATTTTGCTGGTTTAGAAAGATCATTCCTAAAGCTGAGGTCAGTAACTGGGGAAGCTTTCAAAATCCTCTTAAAATGATTGCAGTGGTGGAAACATTTCCTGTACAAATGAAAGTCAGTAAGTAGATTTTAATTTCCCAACTTCTACCTTTTAAGTGGAAACTTAGAACAAATGGCATGAAGACACCTGCAGCATTTAACAAAAATGGCAATTGAAGCCCTATAGTAAAAAAATAAGGAGCTCACAAACAGGCCTTGAAAGAAATAATTCAAAAGATCTTTTAAAACAATGAAAACATTGATAAATAACTATAGAGAAATGATAAGGATAAAGAATTCAGAGAAGCTTGGGAAGACATATGAACTGATGCAAAGAACCTGGTAAGTAAGACACAACAATAACAAATGAATGGGAACTAGATGACAAAAACAAACAAACAAATATGATTTTGTTAATGGTAAATGGGCAAGTATAATGATTATATATATATCTGCAAGAGATAAGAAAATGATTCTCCCTCCTCTCTTTGAAGAAGTAGGGGACTATGACGTGTGACATTCCATATCTTGTCAGATCTGACTTACTTAGCTTTGCTGAATATTTTTTTTTTACCTTTCTTTCTTACTCTTTGTTATAAAGAATGGTTTGTTGGGTAGAGAAGATGCATATACGTAAATGAAAGTGATAGTACTAGATGAATACTTTCAAAGAATTCAGAAAAAGAGGAAAAGGACCAATTTACACAAACTATAGCAACTCTTTTCCTAGTAGCCCCAAAACTGGAAACCAAGGCCATGTCTGCCTATTGGGAAAAGGATAAACAGATTATAGTATGTAAATGTAATGGGCTATTATTGTGCAATAAGAAATGAAGAAATAAAACTGTTTTGGAGGAAACCAGGAACACCTCTGTGAACTAATTCAGTACCGAGTCAGTAGAACTAAGATGACTTTTTTTTAATGACAACGTTATAAAGAAAAACAGCTTTGAAAGACTTGAGAATTCTGATCAGTGAGCTGATGCCCAAAAGAACAAAAATGAAATGCACCACTGATTCTTTGCTAGAAATGTGATTAACTCAAAAAAGAGAGAGAGAGACAGACAGACAGACAGACAGACAGACATACCTATTACCTATTTTGGGGAATTTGCTTTACTAGACTATACGTGTTTATGATGAAGGTTTTATTTTTTGGGGAGTTGTTTTTTTCAACTGGGAAAGGGCAGAAGTCAAGGACAAATTGTAAATGCATTTAGAAAGAAATGCATTCAAAATTTTTACAAATTAAATGAATTGACATTAAAAAGCCATATTGACAAGAATTTAAAGTTACACCACCTATATTTCCCAATCTACATAGCCTACCCCCACACCTGCCTGAGAGAGTTCTATCACTTTTAACAAAAAAAGGGACAATTTTAACTTTAAAAAAGATACTTTATACATTTACTTTCTCTTTTGGTCCTAATTCAAGGTATTTCTAACAGGAGTGATTTCATCTTTTGAAATATTATCTCCTGAACAAAAAAATGGAAATAACCAATTTTCTTAAAGTCCTAACTACACATTATTTATAAGCACAAAATACCTATTACCCATATTATTTCACCTTGGTGACATGTAAATTGCAAATGCACATAGGATTGTGGAGTTACAGCTGGACGTGATGTCAAAGGTCACCTCATCCAGCTCCTTGATTTTACATTAAGGGAAACAGAAGGCTAGAAAGTGGGAATAACTTGCCCAAGGTCAAACAAGTAAGAAGTAAAACAGTCAGAATTCAAATCCAGGGATTCTGACTTTAAAGGCAGCAAGCACACTCTCCACTATTATACACTGTTTCCCCATGTATTCAACAATGAAAAGTTAGCAGTTATAGAACCAAATTCACAGGCTGATTTCAGGGATTAGGTGAGTGATTCACAAGGTATTTCAAAAGATACTCTTCTCAACTCAGGGCTTCTATCATAGTTGACAGATTTCCGTCTGCTTGAGAAAAATGGTAGGTGCATGCCGTCTAATGATGTAAAGTTTCTGTATTCATAAAGATTTGCCCACATAAATTAAAACATTCAGTGTTAATGTTTTCAAAAGCAGTGGGTTTAAATTATTTTCTCAGGACATAAAGAGGAAAACACCACAGAAAACAGAACCAGCCTGAGTTGTTTAAAATGTATTTTCCTTTTAATTAAATAAGAAACAGCTGTCTGGGGATTTTGGAAACGAATATAATCCATCCACACTCTGACTGTACTAGTTTGCATCCAATGTCCAATATTTTGAAAGAAAATTCCTGCTTTCTGTAAGGAATTAAATGGCAACATGAAATAAAGACTCAGTCTGTAGCAACTAAGATTTACCCTGGGAGTTGGAACACTGGAGGCTTGCAGAATCCCTCTGCTCCCAGATTTGTGGTTACGAATAAACCAAGTTCTCTGCCAAGGATGTTGTATAACATTTGTGCTTTTTCTGGAGTATGCCCTCGCTGGTCCCAGGACACTGAGGAAAACTGCAACTACTAGGATAAGTTCAAATCCTCAAGGTCATGATATTATTAGTTCTCTAGAGCTCACTAAACACCCCTCAGCCCGCACACTCAGATATGCATGCCTGGAAAAGCTGGTTTCTCTTGGGACCTGCACATCCTAATACATCAAACAAGTCGACGGGAGTGCAAGCAGACTCCAATTTTGATTTCGGGGGTGGCTGTGGCAAATGGTGATCTGAAATGAGTGTTTAGTTAATTAATGTTTAAAAAAAAACAAAAACAAAAACCACTTACTAGTAGGGTCAAACGGAATCTGCCTGCATTGCACATCTCCAGTGGCCGGCCAGGGGCAGTAATAGACAGCGCCACCTTCCACTATATCCGGCTGGCTAGTGTTGGCTTTGGGAGCTCCCACCAAGATACTCACTCTGCAAAACATTTGGACCAAAGTTAAGATCCTGGGCACGCGAAAGTCGAGAAATGACTTACCTACACTCCTAAGATCCTAGACATAGACAAGTTATTATCGTGGGGGTAAAGCTTGTTAAGCGACCCGACTTCTTTGCCCGAAATCTCTCTGCATCAGAAACACTGGGGTTTGGGGGGGGCGGGGTTTGGGGTGTCCCTCCAGATGGAGTTGTTTGTACATAAATACACAACGGTGAGATGAAAGGAGAAAACTCAAAGGACAAGCACAGCTGCTTATCCACAGAGTCGCCCCATGCTCTCGGTCCCCCAAACATTGCCTAAATCTAGTTCCCAGCAATGTGTAAACAGGCAGCAGAAGCAGCTTTTCATGGGACAGGTTTCTGTTTAGTTTTTGCTAGTCTGGCTTGGTTTGGCCCAGGGCGCTGTCATATCATTAGTACGGCCGAGAAGTCTGGATCCGCGAACCTCTCAGAGTGCTAGGGCTGTACCAGAGCTGTCTCTCTACTTTCGGGCGTATCTACAGTTCTGCAAAGGAAGAGATGCGAGAGCTTGGGCGTCGGGGCATGGGAAGGGAAGGGTAGGGGCAGTGAGTGCCCCGATCAATCGCCTTCCTTCAGAATAGAGGTTCCTGGAGGTGGCCATCCCCAAGGTGAGAGGCAGCTGGAGGGCCACCTCCGGCGCACGGGGTACGAAAGACCTGTCCGCGGGAAGAAAAGGCTCAGGACCGGGACTACTTACGTTCGCGGGTCAGGTATGTGGAAGTCCACGGCGTAGCCGAAGTAGCTCCCCTCGGGACCGCTGTACACGGTGAGCTTGTCCACGTCCAGGTTGAACGCCTGGGAGGCGGGCGAGCAGAGCATCCCCAGGGCTGCCCAGAAGCCCCAGAGGGGAGCCGGCAGCTGCTCCCGGCTCCCCGCCGCCGGGCAGCGGGGGCGGCCCCGAGCCATCCCTCGTCCGCCTCCTGCCCTCCAGCAAACTTTGCCCGAGCCCCGAGAGGGTGCAGGAGGAGGAGGAGGAGGAGACGAGGCGCCGCGGGGAAGGCGCACGCAGCCCCGTGCGCCTCTGCCGAAGCCCGGCTGGCGGAGGAGGGCAGCCGGGCGAGGAGAGCTGGGCAGGCAGGGGCTGACCAGCGGTGACAGGCGCGCGGCTGCTCTGCGCCTGCATCCCGTCCAGGGCTCCTCTCCCCTCCCTCTCTCCCCTCCCCTCTTCTCCTTCCTTCCCTCCCCCCCGGCTGCCTCTTAGCGGTGGTGGCTGGTGGAAGGTATCGGGCGGGGAGAGTGGGTTCTGGCAGGGGAGACTGGAGCGCACGCCGTGCTCTTTGTCACCCCCTGGCGGCCGCACTGCGCGGCACGAAGCGCGCGGGCGTGGGCGTGGAGCGTGGGGCCGGGAGATGAGCCGGCCCCAGGAGCGGGATGGCTTTTCTTCGCCTCTGTGGCTCCTGGATACGCTGCTCCCTGGCCCGCGGCTGCTGCCCTCTCAGCGGGGGAGCCTGCCCCTGCCCCGTGCCACCTGGCGGGCCCTAGTCCGCAGCCGTTGGTGACCCACGTGTTCCTCCCACGGAAGGCTTTCCGTCCAAGGGGAGTTTGGGGCTCCTGGGCATCTCCTCGCCTGGAGGCCGCTGCCTAATGCTGGGCATTGTGTTCGTGGCTCAGACTTTCCACCAAAAATATGTTGCGGCATCAATTTTGCTCGTTTCCCCTAAGTGCAAGGAATTTGGAAAGCCTGGCCCAACCCTATGAAAGGATCCGTTTTTCCTTTTATGCAGTCTATTAATCTAGCAGGGTGGGGGGTGCGGTACTTTTGATTGCTACCCCTGGACCGTGGATTAACTTTCAAATCTGGGAGTTAGGATACCGACGAATTACCACAGTGGAAGGACCAGAAACTGAGAGGGAGGTCTTCGAATTCCACCTCTGATGTTTAACAGCCGTGTCCCTAGGCCTCAGTTTCTTAATCTGTCAAGTAAGGGACTGGTAAGAGTAGATGGTCTCAGAAGTCCATTCCTGATCTGGGGCTTAGGTTCTGGGTAAGGCTCTTTGTGACCTTGGTCAAGTAACTTCATATCCCACCTCAATTTCCTCTTCTGTAAAATGAATAGTTTAGACTGGAGCTTTAAGATCCCTTGTAGTTCTGTAACCTGTGATCTCTATGTATCTTCTGTGTTTTGAGTAGGGGGAGACAGGGGGAAAGTATGTGATATCTACCTTCAAGAAAAAAGGATAGTCTATTCAAATTTAGTACCCAATTAAGGGAGAAAGTGGGGTTGCTGACAGAGATGTCCAATACAAGTTCAGAGAAAGGAGAGATTGCAAACAACTGGAGTAGTCTGAGAAGTCTTCATGGAGAAAGCTGTGCATTTAGGTATCTAGGATTTGGATAGGTAGATTGGGTGTAGGAAGAGTTGATCAAGATTGTGAAAAAGGACAGAGTCTATACTGAGTCTAATTGTTTAAGGAAATGCCAGAAAATGGATGTGGCTGGAGAGGATTGGTGGAGGAAGAGTGGAAATTAATTTAACCAATTTGGGTGGGTGGGTGGGTGGGGGAATAGAGATCTTCCTAACTCCTAGACTAGCTCTGTACTGGTTCCCTTTCTTGATCAGCAACAGTTCACATTTATATAGTACTTTAAGGTTTGCAAACTGTTTTCCTAACCCTAACCCTAACTTTGTCAGGTTAGTAGCATAAATATTATTGTCCTCATTTTACGGATGAGAAAAGTGAGGCTCATAGACCTGCCCATGGGTGCAAAGCATGGCAGAAGGTAAGTGGAATCTACATCTTTACATCCAAAATCAGTGTGCCTTCCACTACATTATGTTCTCTCAAAATGCTGAGACCGATTGTGGAGGACTGTGAAAGTCTGGCAAAGGATCATTATTTTCACATCAGCAAAGATTTACTGAGGGAACAGGCAGCTCTAGAAGGTCCTTGAGCAGCTGTGAATATGGGAAAAGTGGGTGTTAAGCAAACTGGGTTGGCTATGGTACACAGAATGGATTGAAGGCTCTGGGGTTCTGCCAGAGAGGTTGCTATACTGTAGGCATGAGATAAGGGACTGAACTAGATTAATGATCCTGGGAAGGGAGACAAAGGGATGAACCCAAGAGATATTTCAAAAGGAGAAACAATGTGTCTTGACTTGAGGTTAAATCTAAGGACCAAAGGGCAGGGAGTCAGAGAGAATTCTCTGACTTCTAATTTGGAGAATTAAAGATCACCAATGACAATGGAATGATTGCTAAAAGAGACTAGTGTGAGGGACTGGGTAATGATGAGTTCAGTTTTGAATATGTTGAACTTGGCATGATAAATATACCAGGTGGACATCCAGTAGGCAGCTTCGAATTAAAAAAAAAAAACAAAACAAAACCCAAAACAACAAGAAACAAACCCAACCTCACTGTAGGTGAGAGGTCAGATCACGGAATGGAAGATTTAGAGCTGAAAGGGACCTCGGGTTGTCCTCATCTCCCAGACCCAGGGAATTGACGTGATTTGCTCAAAGTCACCCAGGGAGGTAGGATTTGAACCCACATTGTCAGACTCCTGAATCACTGTTATCACTCTGGCTTTAGAATGGCCGGGTCATTTGCATGCTGATCTTAAATGATTAACTCCCCAAAGAAAGTGTCAATCCTTACTCCCAGTCATCTCTCAGAAGAACTGGTGTTTTGATCTAAATTACATTTTTGGCCCTTTGCCTTCTTCTCCTTTAGAAGTTCATCTGTAGAGATGCTGAAATAGAAATAAAACGGTCAGAAGGATCATGGAAAAGTAATAGATGACTGTGATGATCTGCAAATTGTTCAGTCCTTCACCAGGTAATAAAAAGCAGATCATATAAGCCTTTACCAAGTCCAGGGTTTCAAAAATGCAGTGGCTGTTACCAGAGGTCAGTCTTCAGTAGGTACTAATTTTGAATTTCCCATAGCAACCTTCAATCAAATAATTCTAATGGAACACACATTGAAAAAGCTGAACAAACAAGCTTATATAAGACTTCAAGATTTACAAGGAATTCTTCTCCCAACAATCCATTCTGTGAGGCAGGTAGTGCAACCATTATCTCCATTTTACAGATTTACCTTGAGGCTTGGAATGGTACTTGTCCATGAACACAAATTTAGATACCAGAGGAGGCAGAAGGAAAATTCAGGTCTCCTGATTCCAAACCTAGCACTCTGCCTATTGTGTTGGACTGCCTCTCGACTGGCTAGAAGCTTACATATAACAAAGCTAGAATTAGGAGGAGAATCTTTCATCTGATGGGCCCTGATTCTGGAATGCTAAAATTGAAATCAGTCCTATTCCAGGTAGATCATAGGGTTGGAATGGGAGGTTCCTAGCCAGGTGAAAGAAGATAACTCTGTCTTCTTTTTCTTTCACAAAACAAGAGGTGCATCTGATAACCCAGAGGTAGACTTTTGGCAATGAGAGTGATGCTTATCGTGTGCTCATTAGATGTGTTTGCACATTGCAAATTGCAGCATCAGAGCAGCCCAGACATTAAGAACATCAGACCAAAGGACCTTAAAACTAGAAGGAACCTCAGAGATCAGTCCTCTTATTTTATAGATAGGGAAACTGAGGCCCAGAAAGATTGGGTGACTTGGGATCGCAGGAATGTAAGACCTAGACCTGGCAGGGGCTTTAGGGATCATTTTTTCCCAATCCCGTCAATTTACAAAACTGAGGCTTGGGTCAAGTGATGTGTCTAAAGTTACACAGATAGTATGTGGCAGAGCTAGGATTTGAACTAGAAAGACCCTTGGGCCCCTTCACCTGTTTTACCTGGACGGACTTCATTGCAGGGGATAATTGTGGCTCTCTGGGGGCCTGTGAAGGAACTCTAGGCAGCTCCATTTAATTAGTATATACTTATCCTTTTCTTTGATGGGAACACTCAGTAAGTGAGCTGGGAACTCTCAATGTCAGTTATAAACCACAGTGCTTACAATAATTACAGAAGCATTTCATTCAATTCAAAAACCCAAAACGTTTTGATAATAATAAGACAAGAGTAACCTTTCCTGAGGTGGCTACCTTGCCAACACCTCTTGGTTTCTTTTGCCCTTGCTTCTTCCTCAAGCTCTAGTCTTATCTCTGTCCTTCTCCACTGGTGAAGTTCCAGGAAGAATAGTTGGCACTCACCATCTCTACTTTCTCAAGTATCCTTTCATAGGATCATAGATTGCAATTGAAAACGGACTTCTGAGGCTATCTGGTCCAACCCTACCTTTCACTCATGAGGAAACTGAGGCAATGGGAGACAAACAACCTGCCCACAGTCCCGAAGGTAGTGAGTGGCAGAAGCAACATTCAAACTCTAGCAGGGGTGGGGAACCTGCGGCCTCGAGGCTATGTGTGGCCCTCTAGGTCCTCAAGTGTGGCCCGTTGACTGAATCCAAACTTCACAGAACAAATCCTGACTCATTTGGATTCAGTCAAGGGGCCACACTTGAGGACCTAGAGGGCCACACATAGGCTCGAGGCTGCAGGTTCCCCATCCCTGCTCTAGAATCTATGTTCTTTTACCAACCCTTTGGCTCTGTTGTCTACCAGTCTACAGAAACTGCTTTGTCCCAAGTTACAAATGCTGTCTTCATTGGCAAATCCAACAGCTTTTTTTCCCTCAGTCTTTGTTCTCCTTGAATTTTTTGCCGTTTTTAATAACGTATTGCTCCCCACTCTTTTCTTGCTTCTTCGTCATCAACTTCTACAACACCGGTTATCTCTTGGTTGTTCTTCCACCCATTTGCTGCTTTTTCACTGCTTCATCCTCCTCCTCCTTATCTTCTAACGGTAGTTGTCTCCAGAGCTTTGGACTTGACCTTCTTCTTTCCCTTGGGAGAAAATGGTTCATTCCTATGGCTTTAGTTATAATTTCTGTGCAGTTGATACTGAGTCTTTGTAGCTAGACTTCATTTCCAGCTGCCCTCAGGAAA